GCTCTATCTCTGTCTAGTTGTGTATCACCTTTCTCTGCATCTCCTCATAGTTTCTTTTATTTATTTATTTACTTATTACAAAAGTGCACCTGAAGTTTTCGTGTAAAAAAGCAAGAAACAAAACAATAGAGAAGGAGAAAAAATAAAGAAATTTCAATAATGCATTCTGAATAGTCTTTTGGTTGCAAACTGCCATCATCTCTCTCTTCGCTCCACTCTCTCTATTTGTCTACCTGCCTGGGTCTCAATCTACCTACCCTACAAGCTCCTCAGATATCGTTTGCTATCTCAGCTGATGGCAGTTTGCAAACAGACTGACTATTTTAGAATGAATTATCGAGACCTTTTTTATTTTTACTTCTCACTATTGTCTTGTTTTACTATTTTCTTACACGAAAACTTTGGTGCACTCTTATGAGTATGTAAAAAATAAATAAATAAATAAATAAATAAATAAATAAATGAATAAAAGAACTGAACAACTATGAGGAAATGCAGAGAAGATGATACACAACCAGATAGAGATAGAGCACGGCAGAGAAGTAGACAGATAAAGAGACGGAGAGGTAGACCTAATCTATTAGGTTGTTCGGAAAGTAATGCGGGTTTTCGACCTCCATATTCAAAGGGGCGTATTTCACTGGAATTGAACATTTTTTGTCGTACAAAAAGTGTTGGAAAGCACTAATCTTTCTTAACAAGATGCGCACTCAAATGTCCTTCCCACATTAAATCAGCGCTTCTGGAGGCGATGATATCGTCGAGCATCATTTTCACATCAGTTTGAACATTGAAGCTTTTCTTACTGAAGAAGTTGACGAGATGGTTGGAAAAGGGGTAATGGTGAGTAAGAGGGAGGACGTGTGGATCGGAGCTTCGTACGCCAGTTTGCTCAATACTTGCTAGGTCGTTTATGGGACGTGTGGCCGAGCGCCTGTCTGAAAGAGGCTTTGTTTACTTCTCTCGGTTGACGAACTTGATGTTTCTAGAGCATCTCATCGGTATGCTGGAGAGACATTGGTGTTGTGTCAAACCCACCTGGTTTCCAAGAGCTGGGTTGGATCAGTCCCGTATGC